TACCTCCATCTTAGGGCTGTAGTTACAATGCATTGAAATTCAGATTTAGCAAAGTTTTCCAAGATTATCCAATACATGAATGTCTTTGATTTCCTAGATTTTTCTTGTTGACCCTTGCAGGGATGTACACAATTGATGTGCTACAAAATAATGACAGCTGGAGTCTTATCTGATAGGAGCTACACGGTCTGATGCTGGTCATATACATCTACATTGTAGGACTATAGGCCATTGGTGTGACTTACCAAGAGACAGTTGCATTCACACAATTAGATGAGCCTTTATAGCCAGGAGTGAGAAACTGATATCTGAGATCCCTGAATTTGGAAAGGTTTGAAGGTGAGAGTTTTCTGATAAATATCCTGTGTTTTTTTCCAAGTGAAATTGAAAACACAGTCTTTTTTATCAGTTAGGCTACAGTTCAGTGACTGAGCTCATATATTCTTATGTTTAATTTGTGGTTTTTGCGAGCTGTGGGCAACTGTTAAAAATAATCATAAGTACAACAGTTTGTTGCAATATGGATGTAAATCTTGTAGAATTTTAGGATGACATCGTGTGATAGCAGGGGATTAAAATGTCCAGTGTTGAAGAAACAATAAAATAAAAATTGAATTGAATAGGTAGATTGTAAGAAAATTGGTCATTCCCATTTGCCATTCTGCTTTAATGTCAACTTGACAAAAAATGCCCAAGCACCCTCCAAAACGGTAGGATGACAAGAAAACATAAGTGGGAAAATTCAGATTAAAGTACAGAAGTGTTTGAATACTTAAGTTGTTTACTTACTGTAAGGAATTAAAAATTAACATTGTGATGCAGTCCACCACAAAGTCACCTGATCTACTGTCTGTAGGCTTCATGGTCATATGTTTTGCTGAAAAGGTTTTTAAGTTTATGTTCATTTTTTTGGTGTAAAATATCAAACTAATTCATTCCATTCCATATTTTTCTTTAACTTTTCAGACAAAGAATGTCATCTTAAAATTGCACTTTGTCTCTTGAACAAGGCATCATATCATATGATAGCACATTGAGGGAATCAATGTCTAATTTTGAATAATACCAGGCATTTCCCAAATCATGTCAAGATTAATGAATGCTGAAACAAGATCTCAACAGATGTTTTTAGGGGTGAATTTTTTTTTAATACATGAATGAATACTCCTGCAATATGTGTGACATGTTCATTGTTGCCAAGTGTAATAACTCTGTAGGGATATTGTTTGAAAGTTTTGTTGTGTGAAGTTTCTGTTTTAGCTGGTTCTTGTTATTTATAGGCTTTCATAATTTCCTTATTTGTTTTAAATTAGCTATTCCAATTAAAGGCATTGTACATGTGCAGACATGTTTGTGCAAAACAAATTTTGATGGAATTAAGGTTTCTTTCTATTTGTGTCCCTTTTACATGTTTTAGTTCATTTGTGTGTAAAAAATAAACTTGAAACAATTATTTCAACCTTAATCACTACAGCAAAGTGATTCCGATCATTCAGCTTAATTTTTGACATCAGAGAATCTGTATCCTGTGGTAAATTCAGCACATCAATATGATTGTAGTTATTTGTATGTTACAGGGTCTTAATTTTATGTGAGGCATTATGAGATTTTGTTTCTTTCCTGACTAAGTAATCAGTGTGGATTCCTAGGTCATTGTGTTTATCCAAATATTTCAGAACATCTTTTGGTTTACAGTGTAAACTCAAATAGTCTAATTAAGAATTTAGATGCATTAAATTATTTACAAGGAATTTCTCAAGAAGAATTATATAACTCTGAATACAAGCTCTGCCAAGTCCCATTTAAAGAGAGACTGTTGCCAAAAATGATATAAAATTTAAATAGGAAAGAAAATAGGTTGCCTTGACATGAATGACAGTTGACCTATTGGAAAAAATAAATCTATAACTTCTCTCTGTTGAACTTAAGAAAACACTTTAAAGATGCTGTGCTATCTAAAATATATGGATGTTGGTATTTTAACTGTCTGTTGCAGATTAATCAGCCAGAAAATAAATCATATTTTGAGATTAATATCTTTTGAAACATAAATGACAGGTGTAGATGTGTGGTGTTGGTGAAAAGGTTAAGAAGTTAATATGATATTAATGATAATAGGCCACAAATATAACCTGGTCTGAGGTTGGATAGTTGAAATTATTCCCTGAGGTATTGGAAGCTGAGACATGAGTTCCAGAGGCTTCGTGTGTTTGTCATTTTCCTATCTCTCATTAAACTGCAGTTAACCTGTAAAATAACAATTCATCGTGTTTAGCATCACTGAGCTAAGGAACACACTGATTTGATTACTCTGTAAAGGGTTCGTGCAGGTAAATTACCTGTAACTCAGAAGTAAACATGACGGATGGCGTATGACGTACGATACACGGTCCAGTAAGAATTTGGCTCTTGATCATAAGTATGTATGAGGTCATAGTAATTGTATACATTATTGCTTAGGATGCAAATGTAACATGAGAATATTATTTCATAACACTCTCAAATATGAATCAGAGTTGTAGAGATGTCCCATTAAACATCGCTGTTTCAGGAAGAGACAAATTGGACCCAATTTTATGAATGTTAAAAAATTTCTGGGTTTTTTGTGGTTTTTTTTTTTTTTTTGCAAAACCAAATAGGCTGTGTGATCCCTACAACATGGCGTTATCATGTTACCAAATCTAGTGAAATCAGCCAAATCCCGATGCCCTCTGTATGACTGGAAAGGGAAGGGTTTTAGACCCAAATAATGTCATGATGATGTCATCAGGTGATGACATTAAAGGGGCACTCTTTAAAGCACTATACCTCGCGAAGTACATGTCCCATTGGGTTGAAACTTTGCAGATAGTTAGAAAGGGAAGGGTTCGAGATGGAAATTGATTTCGTCTAATGGTGGTGTCATTATACGACAAGTCATGTGACATATCAAGATGACATGGATTTTAAAGTTCCCACTGACGAATGTTTGTTATATATGGTCTGTGTGCACTTGTCATTAAATCTTGTGAGTAGTTTGTCAAGAATTTATTCACTGGTTTTAGATAAATGAAACCAGGGCTGAAGAAGGTGTGTTTGTCCACAAACACATTTCTAGTTTTAAGATGGAACTTAAAGGACAATAAAACAGTGCTCATTGACAACCTATTCCCCTCCACTGCATCTACTTTCAAAAAACTGAATACATTTGTTTTGTTAAACCTTTAATTGTTCTAAACTGTAATTGGAGGTGCCTCCCATGCAAAAAAAAATCTAATTATTAATTTTATGGAAAATGCCTTGAAATGGACAAATTTTTAAAGGTGTAGGAAAAGGCTTAGGCAAAATCAGTAGAGGGCGCTATGGATTCTAAAGGAAAAATTAAGCACTTGGTAGAGGGCGCTGTATAACGAAATGGTATTTTACACCTAGCCACAGAGGGCGCCATTGCATATAAAGTGGGTTGTTCGGCTCTGGGTGACAAGCAAAATTATGGGCTCCTTTCAACTAGCTCAGTAGAGGGCGCCATCACTTTTTTCAAATGGGGGCGCAATTTATTGGTTGTGTTGAAATTTCAGTAGAGGGCGCTGTTATTTTTTTCAACAGAGGGCGCTCTATATTGGACATGAAACACCACGCGTGTATATGGCGGGATGGACAAGTATGAGCATTGGGAAAACGTTGGCTGAAAATGAAAAGGTAGGCCTGCAGTTTTCATCAAACATTTGTGGAGTCCAAGTTACTCAGACTAAGTAAAGGCTGGGGTATTCAACCACATAAGAAAAGCAACGAATTTGACCGTCTGTGTAGTTTACAGAGGGCGCTGTTAATTAGACGCCAGCGTGCATCAGGTTACACTGCACTAAGTATATACGCGCCACAGTGCAAACTCAGGCCGAAATTGTGCCGCCTGTTGACTCTGGGGAAGAGGTTGGCCCTCTGGTTTTTCACTGGTAAATTCAGGATTATGGCCAGAAGTTCAGTTTTCGTTTATTTTTACCAGGGTTAGCACACTTTTTTTATTCGCTTTTCCCCGAAGATACCCCCTAATAGTCGTAAAACAATGGGCTCCTTTCAACTAGCTCAGTAGAGGGCGCCATCACTTTTTTCAAATGGGGGCGCAATTTATTGGTTGTGTTGAAATTTCAGTAGAGGGCGCTGTTATTTTTTTCAACAGAGGGCGCTCTATATTGGATATAAAACACCACGCGTGTACAATGTATATGGCGGGATGGACAAGTATGAGCATTGGGAAAACGTTGGCTGAAAATGTAAAGGTAGGCCTGCAGTTTTCATCAAACATTTATGGAGTCCAATTTACTCGGACTAAGTAAAGGCTGGGGTATTCAACCACTTAAGAAAAGCAACAAATTTGACCGTCTGTGTAATTTCTGTATAAAGCTGGTCAAATTCCCCGGTCAAAACTACCCCCTCCTCCCTTACCGGCGGCAGAACAATTTCATAGTTCAATCATCAGGCATCAGCCCTCAAGTCTTTTCCCCCTCTGTTGGAAAATTAACAGCACTAAAAGTCAGCCAGATTTTCAAGTAGATTCATTGGAGGATTAAGTCTTTCATGCGGTTACTTACATGTACCTTGTAGAGCAAACTTTTGACATTTGCTGGGTCCACCCAACTAAGAACTTGAAGTTGGAAGTCTCACAGATTGTTGATGAGTCCTGTATAGATTGATCACATATCTCCTGTGCCTATGTGCACGTAGGATGTTGGATTTGGCATTAACTACATGAATTGGAGATTGGAAGATTTATGATTGAAAGAGTAATTGAGGTTGGTTGTTGACTAGTACAACTGTACATGTACATGTAGCTGAAGGATGTGATTGATGAGGGAATTGATTGGAATTTGGAACAAGTGCACCATGATTGCCATCTCATAATGACGTTTACCATTTTGTGAGGAAAGCTTAAGTAAAGAAGCTTTAATCACCTCCTGGGTGGTTTGACAGTGGAGGATTGGTTTGCTGACAGGCAGTCCACATCTCTTCCCCTCTCTTCCCTGTCTGGTGCTGATGTAATTGATTTCTGCTAGAGTTGGATTACACAGTGAGTGTTATACATGTATATGTACCAACGTGTACCTTTAAGTACCATGTGCAGGTACTCTACTTGTGCTGTACATTGAACATGTATATGTACCACCTGTTTATAAAAATTTCAAAAACCGATCAAATTTTGTCTGACTTGGCTGGTATTTGGGTTCTGTCATACGTGTTGTCATTTTTTGCATTTTTGTATAGAGTGCACATACCGTAGATCTCCTGGCATATCACATTTCATCAAAAGAAGTCTAAATTTTGTAGTTATCTATTTGCATATTAAGCCAAGTTTGCAGAACTTTGGTGATTGTGACTATTTAACCCCTTCACGCCGGGACCCGTTAAAACACGCCGTAAAAATTGAGATCCTCAGCCCGCTTTTTAGCTATTATTCTCGGCCCACGCTAGAGCGAACACGGTGAAAGAAGGCAGACCCTGGCTCTTGTGTACATGTATATGGTAAAAAATAGAAAAATAGACGGGGGAACCTAGACATGTATGTCATACTTTTTTGTTGATAGCTACAATCCCCTCTGAGCAGGAACAAAGGGCACGTTTTTAAATGAAACTGATTTTGCCCTGCCCGACGTGTTAATTAATTAAAATCAATTAACATCTCCCCGGCGAGTACGAACTCGCCATGTACATACACAAGTTTAGGTGCAAATTTATTCTGGAATATGGTTTTCTCATGTATGCGGAACACATGAAGAACCCGGTTGGAAAACTTTTTACCAGTCTGTCTTTCTTTCGCCAGTGAGGATGCACTTGAAACTCAGGGTGGATACCTGTTGTCAGTATTAATAACATGTATTGATTTGTTGTAATGACACTATTCATGGTACATGTACATTGCACAACTCCCTTTTATTCTCAACCTGCAACATGAATCAAATGGATGGAGACAAGCTGTAAAACTCCATTGCAAAATTTATCACCCAAACACTGTATGATTTGAAGTTTAAAAAAGAAATTCAATTTGCCTTTGCAAATCCAATGCAAGAATAGTGACCCACACTGGCATTGGCCTTCCAAGATTGTCCACAAAAACCAACTCTACAATTTTGCCTCACACCCCAGGCTACAAGATGTTAAGTACATAAACATGCAAAGACATTTTCAATTTAAGGGGTTTTCAACCCTGCTCCCTCCCCCCCAAAAAAATTGCCTTAAAACTCTAAAATGTTGCTCACATCTCCAACTACAAGATGAAGACTATATGATAGGTAATTCTGACAAATGTTTTTACATGTACATGTCAGCAGCTTCAAATTTCAATTTATTCATGTAGTTTACTCTATCCGGTATCAACGTACCACATTTATACGGTATGTACACGCACTGTACATGCATACACGTATGTAGAACTTCATTGGATCATGGACCTTAAACTAATGGTCTGTGATTGGATTTTGCATAAACCATGAAGTATACGTGAATGCATTGGACAAAAATAGAATGACATCATGTTGACTTTGCTATTTGATTTTTTGACCTAAATTTTAAAATTGGAAATTACGGTACATGAAAAATATCTAAATTTAAGACGCTATCAGAAATTTTTTTGTGAGGAAAATGTTTGGCATTATGAAGACATCATAATTTGATTTTGTAATGGGCAATAGTGAATTCTTGAACACTAGGTTGACTTGACGTACATGCACACTTTGAGACCAAACATGTTGCAAACCACATGTGAAGTTTCTGCAAACTTTGCCATCCGTACATGTACTGGTAAAGGTAGGCAAGCAGGCTTACTAGAATCAAACCACACTGTCACTTCAATAAATAATGTAAATGAAATCATGCCATTGCTACGGCTACAGGTTTGGCATTTGGGTCATTCCACGAAGTTCGGGCGCAGTTTGTGACGACGTCCCTTGTTACATCAGTGAAAATAAACATCTTTTGTCCTTGTATGTGGATTCTAAATTGACATTGTTCTCAATCTTGCTAGGTTCTTGTAGTGGTTTGCTTTATCTTTGCCGAGTAGTATGACTTAATCTGTTGTAATGTGGAAATAATGGGCAATAAAAGTTACCGATATAACAAGGGACCCCGTCATAAACTGTGCCCGAACTTCGTGGAATGACCCATTTACAAATACTACTGTGATGGTAGCTACTTGCGCAGCCCCAGGGTTTGTTGGAGTGTGAACTTCAAAGGATGGGAGACGAATCCCGGTTCAGACCACGTCTAGGAGACAGACTTGCAGCAGTGATTCAGTCAACTCAAGGACATAACTTGAACTTGACTAGCCAACAGCAATCCGGTTGTTTACTTACCCGTCATTTATAAACAAACACCCTGTATAATAAATCCAAAGGTGCAAAATATGCTTCTTGGGTGCACACATACGGTTCATGTATAACATACATGTACACGGGAGCAGGGCACAAAACACACATAAATACATGTACATGTACAATGTTTACAGTGCCTGCGTGCACTTAATGCACGTTGAGTACAGCAATGCTCGTGACCTCAATGCCAAACAAGGAGAGCCAAGCTTTTGGCCCAAAAATCATGCCAAATTGACAATTTATAATCTGTAAATTACACTCACCCAGACCTGGGTGGTTACAGTATCTGACACTTACACGTAACAAGCTGTTTGACGTCTTTTTGATGATGCTCTTGATTATGCAAGATGGAATGATTCGCTAAATGGAATGATTCAGCTAGGCTGTGTGAGATAGCTAATGTGTGCGGGAAAATGGGCGTGTCAAGTGAGGGCGCACTTGCATCCATCACACTACCAGTATATGTAGTTTAAGATCTGGAACACAAACTATTTAGTAGAATTCATTGTGATGATCTAATGCAAGAATGTTTGGGTTAGACATTGGCGCCAGTCAGATAGTAAACCACAAAGCTCTTGGCGAAGATCCCTGTTTCTTAAGTAGTAAATGACAACATTCAGCCAACCGTTGGACAGCAACAGGGCTTGAGTCAGCATGACTACCGCATCCCTATCATTTGGCTCCAACTTTGATTGAAGAGAGATTGCAGTGATGACCAGTGTAGGAATCCAAGTGATGATTAAAGTCCCTGTTATGATGATGACGGTGGTGGTTGATCTGGTGTTTTTTCTCTGCCCACCTCGGCCATTGCCCGCTTGGTTTTCAGCAGCAATGCGCCGGGCTTGATTGCGAGCTATTACGGTGATGTGTGCATACAGAATGAATATGGTTGCCTGTATGATAGCAACTACTGTAACAAGAGGGTATGTTCTCCAGTCATCTGTTAGTAGTATACACCGTCGGTAGGGACTATCCAGTAAAAAATTAATTCTGTTATTAATCCCGCGCATGAGCATTAAGATCAGGAATGTTACAGCCCATGCAATACATACAGTGATCTTGAATCTGAACTCAGTCATCAATGAAGGGTAACGTAGAGGATGAGAAATAGCAATGTAATGATCTACCGTCAGAAAAAGTAGTGAAGTACAACTCATTGTGTTACATACTACTATGAGACCATTAATTGCCACACAGAGAAATTCGCCTAGCAACCAAGAACCAGCAAACATCTCCACCAATTTAAAGAGACTGAATGTACCACTCCCAAGATCAGATAGGGTGAGAGAAGTCATGAAGATTTTGGTGGTTGGCTGGATGCTGGTGACACGCCGTAAGGTGAAAAGCATCAGTGGATTCAGGATTAAAATCAAAAGAATTGTCAGTGTGGTGAAAATCATCACAAAAACTTGGAATGGTGTCAGTGCCAGTCCGTACTGCAGACTCTCCTCAGTAGAATTGGAGGTGGCATACAGTCCTGCAATTTCTGTAGTTTCCATGGTTTCTGCAGAGGGAAACATGAAAGCAGAGGACTAGATTTTGAAGGATTGATTAGTTGTTCCTGTGGATGTCTTCACAGGTATTGACAAGTAATTTAGAGAAGAAAATCAGGATTGTCAGTGTGCTATAAAAGCTCAATGAAATTCCAGAATGGTGGTGCTGCCTTGGTACATTTATCCTGTAATCCTGCAGTTTCCCAACCTTAGTTTCCATGGTTTCTACAGAACGTGAACACAAAGGATTAGATTTTGAGGAATGTGCATATTACGAGGATGTCTTCTTATTATTCACAGGTATTTAAAAGTAATGTCTAGAAGAAAAATCAAGATTGTCAATGCGATGAAAAGCTTACCAAAATTCCAGAATAATGTTGCTGTTTCATGTATCTCATCTGTAGAGTTGGAGGTGATGTGCAGTCCTGCAATCCCCGCAGTGTCCATGGCTGGTGTAGAAACAAGTAGGAAAATGGAGTGTTATTCAGTAGGCCTCCTTCTTTTAACAGCCACGTAGAGTGAGTTGAGTTGGTGTGAGGAGTTTGCCCGTGAAGCTGTGCTCGGAAGCTGTGCTCAGCTCAGTTGTTTGGTCCAGGAAAAGATGTTGGCACTGTCCAAGAATCCATTTCAGATCAGCATGTGACACATGAAATTGAATTCACTTTGTCTTGTACTAAAAGCCAGCAGGATCTTAGGGGCAGTTTCTGTTGAGACCTGAACAATTTTTAAGTGTACTCTAGTTGCTTGCCAGAAGAAAAAAATCTTGGAAATTGGCTGGATCCCCCCGACTTTTGATTCCAGCTTTACAGTGTGACTAGTTGATTCCTGTGTTCTGTGATCATATCTCTCCTCTACCTACACAATATATTTTTGAGAGCATGGTTCAGGGTCTAACAGCACAAAAGGCACATGCGTCATTAAACTTGGTTGTCAGACTGTATGGAGTAGGACGTGATTTATGAGGAATTGAGTGGAATTTTGGACGAGCACACCATGATTCACTACGAACATCAAACAAAAGAAACGCAGTGCACTAACAATGAATATCAATTGTTATTTCACCATGCTTCTTTTGTTAGACGTTCACAATGATTAATTGTTACCTGATAATTACATATACAGTACAGTGATATTTTGTGAGGAAATTTAGGTTTTCAGTGAAGCAGCTTTAATCGGTGTTGGATTTGTTTGCTGACTGGCAGACTTACTGGTACTGATATGTATCCGCATCCCCACTTCCTTTTTCTGATGGCTGTTGTGGATGATTCCTCTAGAGGGGCATTAATTTTTATCTTATTGCTTGCTTACCACAAGCAGCTTCTCCCATTCAGTACCAATGTCAGATTGACTTGACTGGACGCCACGACCTTGATGTTATACCAAAGTTGCAGCCAGTGGCCAGTGAACACTTTCATTTTAGGAAGTTTCTAGCTGTACGTCTGACATCTGCAGTATTTCAACTGAAAGGATAAAAAGAATTTAAGAAAAAGGGCATTGGAAGTGTCCAGACCCCATTCTGATGTACATGTAGTGTAGCGTTTGGTCTTGTGAAACACATGTGATGTACATGTACATACTGTACCGTATGTGCATGCCATCAGCTGAGAAAGTGGCCCAAACATGTTCGTTTTTATTCCACGTGGGAAAAATACATGTACATATGACAATTGAACAACTCTTGAAGGGTATGAAGTTAAAGTGTAGCTGCAACGAATTTTTTTTTCGACACAATTTTTCTGCATCTTTGTACTTTTCTTCATTGTATGAAAACACACAGTCCTATTTGATTAAATGCATTGAAAAGTATATTTACATACTTTTAAATAATCAAAATTATCCGTGTTTTCCTGAGGGCATTATTGCTGTGAAATCGTCAAGGGAAGACAGGGTTCAGTGCATAGGTTGTTCTGTTCTCAGAATTTACTAACTGAAAACATTTCTGAGAAAGGAATTGATGGTTTCTTATTGCTATGCACATAAACAACAATGAATAAACAAAGAAGAGAAAACTTGGTCCAGGAAAATCTACAAAAATGCATGACTTTTTTTGTGTACAAACCAATGTAACACCGAGTCTTCTTCCAGACATGACATCACTGTTTGCTCATGAATATGGAGATATCATTAGCATAAAAAACAAAAAGGCATTAAAATACCCTTTGAAAATAAGGTTTACTGAGGCACAAACGTGCATTTTACATGTTTGTTATCAATAACATTGATTGCAGCTACCCTTTAATGTAAGTCCAACTTCCTTTACATGTACCTTTAACACAAGGATCTGTGGGACAGACGTGGATAGCAACTACGGGAGTTGACCAGATAGTGGCATTGTGCCTTAGTTGCCGTGGGTGTAGCAGAGTTTAATAACTAGATACTTGTCTAAGTCATATGGCTCCCATTTGTTTTACAGACTATGTACATGTGTCATCAGTATCTTGGATCATCGCACATGTAGGAATCCATTCCCTGTAGTGTTATGATGATGATGATGGTGGATATATAATGTAGTTGATCTGGTGTTTATTCTCTGCCCACCTTGGCCATTGCCTGCTTGGTTTTCAGCAGCAATGCGTCGGGCTTGATTACCAGCTACGTGTATATGTACATGTACAAGATGGACATGGTTGCTAGGGAGGTAGCCAGGAGTGTAAAATAACTGTCTTCAATCATTTGTCAGTTTGGAGAACATGTTGTAGATTGTAGTCGCATGGTCATAAACTTCGTACCCCAGGTGCATTAAAAATGTTGCAGCCCATTTGCTGCATACTGTCCCATAACTATACACAGTTATCGGTGAAAAGTGCCTTAGAGGATGCCTCAGGATGGAAGATACAGGTAGCAGCGTAACAGTCTGTAGTCAGAACAGAAGTAAATGGTCCAGTGAATATGCGTGCTGGAACACTGCTTGTTGCACAGAGAATGTCAATGGTGGAACAATGCTTGTTGCACAGAGAAAAATCAGTGGTGGAACAATGCTTGTTGCACAGAGAAAAATCAGTGGTGGAACAATGCTTGTTGCAGAGAAAAAAATCAGTGGTGGAACAATGCTTGTTGCAGAGAAAAAAATCAGTGGTGGAACAATGCTTGTTGCACAGAGAAAAATCAGTGGTGGAACAATGCTTGTTGCACAGAAAACAATCAGTGGTGGAACAATGCTTGTTGCTCAGAGAAAATCAGTGGTGGAACAATGGTTGTTGCTCAGAGAAAATCAGTGGTGGAACAATGCTTGTTGCACAGAGAAAATCAATGGTGGGAACAATGTTTGCTGCACAGAGAAAATCACCTAGCAACAACTGATCCAGCAAATACTGTACATGTACTTGTACTGAACCAAAGGGGGGGTTATACCATTGCAAAGATCAGACAGGGTGAGAGATGTCATGAAGATTTTGGTGGTTGGCTGGATGGTAGTAAATAATAAGGTGAAAAGCATCAGTGGATTCAGGAGAAACATCACAAAACTTGTCAGTCTAGCAAAAGTCATCAGCCTTCTGTGAAATCTCTTGGAGCACTTGTCATTTTAATAATTGACAGTGTTTCGAAATTACCTTTTTTACATCTGACACACAAACAGAATCTGTGACAGATTGCCATTTGTACAAACATGTACATGTGGCGTTAAATTCAGTTGTAGATTTGCCTCCCCCCACCAAAGAAAGGGCTTACATGAATGCTTCCTTTATCCACCTTTCAAACTGTTTTCAAGAGCAGCATTCTGTCAGGTTTGGATCAAATACAAAATGAGAAAAAATGTCAAACTTCTATGACTTTAAAAGTGTACTAAATTCTTTACAAATATGAGTACAGAACAGTTGTAGGCTGAATAAGCACCAAACTCAGTTGAAAAGTGGATTACAATTTAGCCTATTGCCCTCTGTTGAAAGAGTGCTGATTGAGACTCAGCTACTGAGTGACCTAGATGTTGGATGTTGCACTATGAATAGTGATGAACCCTTCAAATCTTTGGAAAGTTTTGCAAAGGAGCTCCCTGTATCATCCATCCACCTAATTCTATCAACCCAATAGCATCAAGTTCAGTGTAAGTGGTACATGTAGCTGCACTGGACTTTCCCCAATATGACCAAATCCTCGCAAACCTCAGGGTTGATTTCTAAGAACCTGGGAGGGTTAGTGTTACCACCAATATGTTTCTAAACATGCCTTTAAATGGGGCTCCTGGACCATCAGGTGTGCTTACAGTCAACTCACTATGAGCTGTTGATAGTTTCATGACTTTTTTAAACAAAAGTGGTTCAAATCAAGTAACTGTGTCCTGTCATTTTTTTGTCTTCACAGATGCTGGACTTTACTACCTGCTGTTTGCTCAAGTGATCTGACCTCCAAGCTCACCATCATAGTACACCACGCACCTCTCCATGTCACCATGCTGTCTGCTTGGATGTCAAGGAATTCCTGCTACATCATCACAAGTTTTTAGGTCAACCTGACCTTGAAGGATGGCATCATACCCCTGGCATTGGGCTGGCATTACTTGGTGCCAGCATTCACCGTTTTCCCTGCAGTATCCATTGCCAGTGTGAGTGAGAATATTACATAACTGCAATATTTTTTATCACAAGAGAAATTCAAATTAAAGGACTTGAAGCTGTTCCATTTAAGAAGCTGCTCGTACTTTGTGAAGGTTGCAGTGCAGTAAGAGTGTGCAGTAGGCTTGCAGGCTTTGAATTTCATATTTTGTAGGGCACTGCCATTTGGCTGAAATAAAGGGCACTACTGCCAAACATGAGGGCATTAATGCCATCCCGATATTTTTGCATGGAAATCAATATTCATTCAGCCTGGCCTAAGCAAAAGTAGGATAGGGCCTATGCAATATACCTGAACATGTCCTTGATTTGTGCCGAACCAGCAGCCGAGTGTTGAAAGGCTTTGGCCCGTTTTGACTGTAGCCATTCATTCCTCGGCATTTTGTCTACTACAGAAACTGGCCAGGCCAGCATGGCCAGTCAACTGAGTGATTTTGCACACAACGTACATGTACGTGAGAATCGGGGTAGTCCCAATTGATGTCATGTATGTACAGTTCGGATTGCACGCGGCACGTGGCACTAAATTGCAAACACTACATTGTGGTGTTAGTTAAGATACTACCACGACCATACAGTTGTCCAGTGTGCATGAAAAACGTGGAGCTCTCGATATACCGTTAACACGCGTACACATTGATGGGCACTTGTTCTAGACTAACATTATTGCATGGTACATTAAAATGCTTGGCTTAGGCATGCGCTGTTATGTTAAGTCATTGGATAGGCCGGTGGGTGTTGCCTTGCAACACTGACTGTGCTGCGCTTGCGATCGTGCAGTGCGCATGGTGCGGGCTGAGTGTACAATAGCCCCATACACATACAGTGCACGCACGCCCTGCATATGCATGCATGCCATGCATTTGGGTGGCGCAGCATGGTGTTCCGGTTGAATGTGAACGATCATGTAACGATTTGTATGTCGCTTTTCATGCTGCTTTCCGTGTACCTCGCTGAACGAGGGCAGTGGATATGCACATGTAGGGCACTGTGGCCAAGAGAAAAAAAGGGTACTGCTATCTTGGCAGTGAAACACAATCACTTTTCAGAGGCACCACAGCCAAATGGGAGGGCACCGATGGCCGTCGGGAAATTCAAGGCCTTGGTTTGATAATTGATGAATTCAAGTATCTAATTTGTGTCTATGCTTTCCTGCAGATTCCCTGTTGAGGAAGATTACTGACAGCAGATCATCAAACTAACCCAGAAAGCTGCATGGAAGTCAACATTGGAAAATCCACTGGATATTGCTGCACTAATTCTAATGGAACTCATAAGAGACAGCCTATGAAATAACATGGAACAGCATTACTCCAGAAGGACTGATGAACCCATCTACTAAGTTAGCTGTTGATTTCATGTGGTTGGACGGGTCAGCCATATCTGAAGCCCTGTGCTCTGTCCAAGATGTGAGGGCTTGTCATAGTGTTCCCTTTAACATTGGATTCTGTGTGATACACATGTGCTTCATGCGCCCATTTGACTTCTCATTGTGACTGTCATCACTCCTGTACAAGGCTGCATGAGGAAAGCCTGTGGGTTGGATGGCTGGAGACTACTGACATGAAATGGCCTTTGACATTGAGCAATGTACATGTACACCAATTCCAAGCAGGAAGGATCAGTGTACCACTGTTGACTTGAGGCTGACTCAGGATGCTGTGATAAGATGCCAGGAACCAATTACATCAGACATATACAATTCTACATGTACATTGATTGCAAACCTCAGAGCAGGTCACTGGAACTGACTTGACACCGTGACTTTTCTGGATCCACTTGACTTGCTGTCTGCATACGGCCACATCTTGGGATCCTAAGTGTTACAACTCTGTGTTATTTAAGGACACATGGACAACCTCAGTGCATAAGAAATGCAGTGTGAAGGACACTTCCAAAGTGAAGGACTCTAGAAACGAATATGTCTAGAAAAATGTGCAATAACAAAGCATTTAACCAGCCCCCTAGAGAAAGTTTGATCCCAGAAACTTGAAATTCGATAATCGCTTGTTCATAAAAGATTAAAGTGATTTTGAAAATCTCATTTTCTCAATCTTTTTACGGAACATTTGGCAATTTATAGAATAGCTGAAATGCAAATAACAGGATTTGGAAATATCTAATATGCTTTATGAAATTGTATCGGATTTACACAGAGAAATCTGATTAACCTGTGAAGAAAAACATAGTTGACTACTTACTGCTGCAAGGAAGTAAGCTAAAAAGGAAAATATCCCCAATTCTTATTTTGAAATTCTGAAAACTACTCAGCATTCTTGTAGGGGCTGGTTACCTGAAGGGTATTCATTGCTTGAGTACATTTGCCTGGTAGTATGCCTGTTGGGGGACTGGGTACTAGATTGGTAAACAACACTTCGTTATCAATGGTCAACAGTCACCATAATGTACAAAGTGTTTCGAGAGAAAAAATGCTCTGCATACTTTGTGTCAAACTAGCCTTTGGTTTTTGAGTTGCGCATTGCTTATTCATGGCATTTTCATCAAGTAAAAAATTCCTGATATTTTTTATGATACTGACTTGTCAATTATGCAACATTTTTCTGGTCTCTGTTGGGACTATTTGATGCACACATGAAGCATTTCTATCATTCGAAGACATATTCCTCAAACACTCAGTGTTTACCAATCTCATGCCCAGCATCTTGAATATAATCAGCACTGGCACACATCCAAATCAAGCCGTTTAATCTTTCAGTTTGTTACTAAGGATGCTTAGTTTTCAGTAATATTGTGACCAGCATTGGACTTTGAGAAGATAGTTTATTCCTTCCAAACACACATGAACCACTGAAGTGCTAGTACATTTATCTTAAAGGAGGTTAAACTTATTGCTCTTGGGTCTTTTCAGAGCCACCGTACACTTCTCTTTATTGTCAGTCAGTTGAAAATGCTGTGTCCACAAATTTCAGCGAATTTCTATTCTGCAGCAATCACTATCTCATGTCACATCTTATTTGGGTGTGTAACAACCAATCTGCTTCAGTTTAATGCTCTTTTAAAAAAGGGAAAAGACAAAATCTTATTTTGAAAGAACTCAAATTTGCATAAAAAGTCGAACTTGATTAGGCCAAAATATGGAAGAAGACTATTACATATGAACAGGTTTTTATCTTTGTCAATATTTAATACTCAAACAGGAGAGCACTCAACTTTATTTTAAGTTTGTGTTAATGGCTATTCTATCTGACTTTGATCAAGTTTATGTTTGCAAAATGAATTTTTGTGTGTGCCAGGTGCTGATTATACCTTCTGAAGCCACAGTTAACCTTGAATTATGTATATCCTTGACCAACAGGCAAACTCAAATCTCTCGAAGCACCCTAGCGCATACAAGTCCCCCCTGGTGTGGGCTGCGTGTTCCCCGTCCACAGACGCCGACAGGTTCCGGTGAGTTGCCTTGCTGCATAACTTGTGATCAGTTTGTTCAAGATGTGTTACAACTCTCTGATCATTAAATGCTGGGGTTGGCAGCAACATGGTAAGGATCCTGTCAACTTTGACAATCGGTTTATCTTTTCTGCAAAGCAGATGCATGTATCCATGACTCTAAACATTGCAAATCAAAGGAACTGTTTTTTGCACCTACTCAAAATTGCTCCATCGATAATTCAGAAATTCCAGTTGATGATGGTTTGGATTCAGCAAAGTGAAATGTTTACAAATGGTCACTTTTGTCCAATTTTTCTGTGACATTTTGAATGTTGGATGATTCTAAGGCAGTTTTCTCAGTCTCCTGTTGTGGGTGTCTTCCATGGTATAACTCAACAATCTTCTGCCTTTTGTTGTGCCTACTCAGTCCACAGTCAGTTCCCTCTCTTTAAAAAAAGAAGAAAAAAATAAAATGGTGTACTTGTATCAGCAAAAGAGATAAAACTTAGTAAGTGATCAACTGCACCTTAGCTACATTATCCCAAAAAAAAGGTAGAAGTACAAAGCTTCTAAAAACCTGAACTGTCATTTTACTCTTGGTGTAATAAGTCAGATGCAGTAAATGCTTCAGTCAGTATGATGAAAGATGTATTTTATTCTGGCTTTCATTGCACTCAATTTTGATATTTCAGCAACTGCAAAGAAGCAACTTTCATATCAACCCTTTTTGAAGGCATTTGGAAATAATAATCTGAATTTCTCAAAGTTGAACTTTTTAAATATTCATACATTCAATGGCAGTCAGTTGACTAATTTTGCATTGTTGAAGTGCTTGTAGCATAGCAAGAAGAAACAAGAAATGAAAGACAAACTCCTTCACAAGTTCTGTGGAGAAATCCCTGGTGTGTCAAGGGGGAGAACCATGCTGTTAGATTGCTGGGTGGACGATGTATCTAGGCCATTCACTCCAGGCAAAAAAAAAGGAGACACACACCGGCCCAGAATTTGTCCTAAGAAAGAAGGAATTTTAAAAAGTTTGGGGAACTTACTGTACACGCACATATGCTGGAAACTACAGCAAGCAGTATGTGCATGTTAACTAGAAATTCAGAATCAGTCCATCATCTGATGTTAATGTCTGTCACAATTTTCAGAGCTCCATCTGTGTACCACAGAAGTCATCCTTGCTGAATAACATTCTAATCAGCAAGTGCAGAAATTAAGTGGATTGATTCCAGAATGAAATGGCTCTCTCAAAATGAACTTCACCTGACTCTTCTCTAAAATGGGCAGGGTAACTATTGCCAAAAAAAAATGGAATCAGGATAAATTGGAAATGGGTGTGTGTTCCCCTCTATCAAGGGAGTGAATGGCCTGGTAGACTGGGTAGCCAATCTGCCTCTCAGTATCCTAAACAGAAACTGTGGCATTGACACGGGGAGCCAGTCCCGGCTACAAGGTCCATGGTAAGTTTAATTGAAGTTTGTAGAATTAATTCATGCACTGTGTAGACATCCTCATGTGTTGCTTGATAAACCCAAGGTACATCTCATGGCTAGGAGTGGTACACTGGTTGCATAGACAAACACAGTATTGCACAGATAGTCTTCAGTCTACGGCAATACCAGTACACTTGATCAAGGCATTGACAACCCCCCCTCCCCCAAAAGTCTCAAAAGTTATTTGCAATGGTTGCAGATATTGCATTCACATTCTCCTTGTGTGAGGCAGTCCGCTTACTACTGATGACATGGCAGAGAGAAGCTTGTACATGTATATTGAATAGCGACAATGAAGTTCAGCTTCCACCAGCACAGATGCCTAGAATTACTTCATTGTCAAGTAGATGACACATGACATGAGCATTGTGTCCGAGACACAGGGATTGCCT